GCTTGAGTCCATCGATGCTGCCACTTGTCCATTCCATCTCGCTGGGGGTCTTCCTCTTTATCTCTGACCCTCCACTCTACCAAACATGATATCCGTCTTCAGCGACTGCTCCCTCCTAACAATATGTCTGAAGTATGAGAGACGAAGTTTGGCCATAGTGGCCTCCAGGGAACACTCTGGCTGCGCTTCTTCCAACACCGGTCTGTCGGTTCTTTTGGCAGCCCTTTGCACTTTCAGTATTCTCCTCCAACACCGTAACTCAAAAGCATCAATTCTTCTATGGTCTTCCTTTTTCAACTATCCAGCTTTTGTATGCCTATGAGGTTATTGAAAATACCATAGCCTGGGTCAGGTGCACCTTAGTCCTCCAGTTGACATCTTTGCTCTTTAACACTTTAAAAAGGTCTTGTGCAGCAGATTTGTCTAATGCAATATGTCATTTGATTTCTTGACTGCTGCTTCCATGAGTTTTGAATAGTTGATCCAAGAAGAAATATCTTGTTCTTTATCAGACTTTCACCCTAGATTTCTCGTTTGTTCATTATTGCCTGATCTAGTCTTGATTCCGATAGTTGTAAAGTGGCAGTTTTCCAATTCTACCACTGCTTCCTGTTTCCTGGTATGGCACTGTAGGATAAGTACTGGACTGCAAACTGCAAGGTCGGTGGCTCAAACCCACCAGCCACTTTTTGGAAACCCTGTACAGTGTCGCTGTAAGTCAGAACCATCTCGGTGGCTCTTACCAACAAGAAGATTCTGTGAATAGCCCTCTTCCTTTCCTATCTGTTTATCTTTTCATTATCAGTATGGATCCTACTCTAAGTACTGGGTTATAGTATATCACTATTGTTGTTTTGGTGCTTAAATTGTCTAAAGCTTGGTCTATAGGAGCCACTTCAAGGATCCTGTGTCCTTTTGATTCTCACTTCTAGCAGATTTCCTTTTTTGTTTTCTTTTCTGAGAACATGTTTCTCCTACTTTATTTGTGTGTAATACAGTAATTCAACTGGTATTGTGCAGTATTAGTTTTACATAGCTGTTGTTGTTGTTATGTGCCATGGAGTCGGTTCCGACTCATAGCGACCCTATACAGGGTTTCCGAGGCTGGAAATCTTTACGGGAGCAGAAAGCCTTATCTTTCTCCCGCGGAACAGCTGGCAGTTTCGAACTGCTGACCTTGAGGCTCACAGCCCGATTCGTAACCACTACGCTACCAGAGCTCCTTTACATAGCTGTTAAGACTTTAAAAAATTTCTTATACTATTTTATCTTTGGCTACTGCACAGCAAGTAGTTCTTTCTTACCTCATTTACTTTTTTTTCTCATTTGTGCTTCATTTAGATGTGGTATGTTTGTCATTGTCGATGTCTTTTTGGGATTTTTAATGGTACTAAAATTAAAAAAAAAAAGGGGAAAGTGGAATAAAAGATAATGTAGTTTTACCATGAGCTCTTTGAAACCCCCTCAGATTTGATACTCCATTGGCAAAAGTTTCTAAACGATGTTTTTTATTTGTTCATCCCCGTATGCGTTGTGCTACTCGTTAGTGGACGTAGATGATTGCTACCCTTTGATCCACCTCAGAAACACTGAGCAGACCCTGTGGGCTCTCTTCCTGTTGTTTTGTACGATTCCTGGTTTTCAGGGTTGTTGTTGTTGTTTTTAACATACTTATCTAAGAGGAGACGCTGTATGTGATACTCTTATCAGAAATCATTTGTTAGACTTTTTGAATATATGTATAATGTACACTCCAAAGAAAGGAGTATTGTTGGCCCATCTAAAGGTATCAGGGGATATCGTGCTTTCCTACAAAGGAATCTGTCCCATCACACTGTTCTGTCTCACTGTCACCCTCACGGGTCCTCTGCTCAGTGCTGTTGTAAACTGTCAAGTTGACTTAAGTTTGGCTAAAGTAGAAGATGATACTGGGAGAGAAAACAAAGCTAGAAACAATATCTAGGAATTGTTTCGGTTCCATCTTTAATAATGTGGGAAGATGTAACCTTTCCAAGTCTCAGAAGATTACAGTGAATGTGATAATGATGGTATTCAGATGGCTGGCCAAAAGGGAAAAAAAGAATGTGGGATATTAGTTATCTCTGGTTAGAAAGCCAGAGAGATGATGGGATGAGGGACTATTTCAGTCATAAGGTAGTTGGTGGCATCACAGGTGGTTTTTATTTTCATGTTTCATTACTTTAGGTACATTTTATATACATCTTTCTCCTTTATTTTAATATATCAAATACTTTAAAAAAGAAAACCAACTAAAACCAAACCCACTGCTGTTGAGTGCATTCTGACTTACAGTGACCCTCTGTGGGCTAGCCGAGGTGTGGTAAATCTCTCTCCAGTGAAACTGCTGGGGAATTTGAACTCCTGATCTTGATGTTACCAATCCAGTGCATAGCCCACTAACTACCCCACCAGTGCTCCTTTATAAAGAAAAAGTGGAGGTAAAATTGAGACTTTAATGCCAGATAGGCCTGGTTAAAATCCCAGCTCTACTTTTACCACTATGTGGCCCTGTACAAGTTACTTATTTAAACTTTTTTTTGTTTAAAGTTTTTATTGTGAATTATGTGGGTTTACTTGGGAGAACATCAGTTTTACATTTATCCTGTCGTATTTCGTTTCATTGCAATGATTATAATCCCCTCTATGCATCATCAAATAGCCAAAGGATATACCGCACAGCACACCCCCCCCACACCCCCCAGCCATCAGCACACAGCCCCTCTCCCTCCCTGAGTTCAGTGTCCCCAGCCGCTCCATCTGTCCTCGTCATCGTCTCTGTCTCCATCCGTGGCGTGCCTCTCTGGGTAGGGTCCCACTCTCCGCTCTCTCACGTGATGGTCCCAGGGGCCTCCACTCCTGGCCTGCAAAGTCAACCACTCCCCTCCTTTTGTCCAAAAATATCTACCTCTACATTTCAGACACTCACAGTCAGTCCTCATGGCAATTATTCACTATTGTACCACAAGAGTCTTATCCCCATTTACTTTTGCCAGTCCAGTCCAAACAGATTGGAAATCATTCAGTGGAGATTCTACTTACCCCTGCCCCATCTGGAACTAGGCTCTCTCTTGAAAGCATGTAATACAGTCACTTCTTACCTTTATAGCCACCCCCGCCTCCATTTTGAGTAGCCAATGTCTAAATTGCCCATCTCTGTCAACCCTGTGTACCGAGGGGGTGGGAGTGATCCTCACTGTAAAGATTTGTTCCCTTTTTTGAACTACTACGTCCATAAGTATAGGTAAAGGTCATCAAATTGTAGCAGGTTCCCCTTTTTTTTTTTATTTAACTTTTTTGAGTTTCACTTTACTCATCTTTAAATTTTAGTTAAGAATTAGTTGTAATGCTCATAAATGCCAAGCAATGTTTGCATAAAGTAGGAATCTGGTAAATATTGGATATTTTTTATGATTACTAGAAATAGTGTAGTTTTAAATTTTGAAATCTGAGATTTCTTTTCCTGAGCCTGTTTATATAGTGAAAGTCTGGATGTTTTAGAGGGTATGTTGTCTTGTGGGCTTGAATCAAGTATTTAGAATGAAAATGAAATAAGTTATGTTATTTATAATGTAGGTGGGCGACCTACCCGATGCAGACATTAAACCTCCAGAAAATGTGTTGTTTGTGTGTAAATTGAATCCAGTCACCACAGATGAGGATCTGGAGATCATCTTCTCAAGATTTGGGCCGATCAGAAGGTAATTACTTCCTGTTGTTGCTAAATACCGAAGAGTCGCTTCTGACTTATAGTGACCCCACACAGGGTTTCTGAGGTTGGAAATCTTTACGGGAGCAGAAAGCCTCATCTTTGTTCTATGGAACAACTGGTAGTTTTGAACTGCTGACCTTGAGGTTAGCAGCCAATTTGTAACCACTATACTATCAGAGCACCTAATTACTCCCTAGCATTGGTGAATGGCTTATGATCAACCATATTTATGATCAACTTGTGAACGTAGGTGGATTAATGCTGGTGAATTTTTTCTAGATAAGTCTTTGAACCACTGAAAGAAAAATGTGTATGTATGTTCATATGTTTATAAAAATATGTGTGTATGTCTCTATGCATATATGTATGTGGGTATGTATACAAGTGATTGATTCTCTCATTCTCATTACCAAAAATGTTCACTCTAAAGTAGGAAATGAACAGAATGAATTAAGTCTGGTTTTATAGTAATCAACAAAAATCTTTAATATTTAAAATGAGCCAAAATATGACCTTGAATATATCCCACCTGAATTTAGAGATCATCTGAAGAACAGATTTGATGAATTAAACACTAAAGACTGAAGACCAGAAAAGTTGTGGGATGACATCAAGAACATCATACATAAAGAAAGCAAAAAGCCATTAAGAAGACAAGAAAGAAGGAAAAGATCA